AAAAAAAAAAAAAAGAAGGTGAAATAAAAACATTTTATCAGCACTATAAGAAATGTTAAATAAAATCCTTCAGAGATAAAGAAAATTAGACCAGATAGGAATTCAGGATCTTCATAAAAGAACATGAATAAACATAAAAATTTTAATTTTTTTAATTAACATTTAATTTTAAATGTAATTTTAATTAAAAAAATCTCTTTCAAGTAGCCACTGAGATCTTAAAAGCTTGCAAATGGCCATCTATGTGCAACAATGGGTCTCTCCTCATCCAGAGCAAAGAAGAATGAAGAAAACCAAGGAAATAATCAGTCCAAGGGATTGACGGTACACCATGCAATCCTCAGCCTATATGACTGTGAGACCAGAAGAACTAGATGGTGCCCAGATACCACTGTCAACCACTTAGAGGGGCATCTATGCAAGAGATCTTGGATAGACTGGTAGAACAATGTGGAACAAAACTCAAAATCATAAAAAAAGGGACCAGGTTTGCTGGACTAATGGCTCCTAGCTACCCTTCAGATCTTGAATTGAACCTGCTCCTGTGGCTTCCAGCCAAACAAAAGATAGGCATATGAGCTGAACATTGACATCAGGTAGATATACTTCTTGGAGAGACCAATTACGGGAGAATAGAGGAGCTGTGTATGCACAGGGAGACAGCTCAGGGGCAGGAGTGCATGGGAGGGAAGGAGAGAAGCTGTAACTATGGGGAAGAAGTGGGAAGACAGCAGTCAATGTCATAAGACAAACTATATGTGAAGTGCTGTATGCAAAATGAATTTGCTCTGTAAAATTTCACGCAAATCACAATAAGAATAAAAAAATTTCTTTCAAAAAACAAATCTTTATCTTTGTTGTTTGAAGCAAGTCTAATAATAAGCACTTCAATTTAAAATTACACTAGGAGTCATAGCCAGTGTGGAAGGCAAGAAAAAGAAATAACCGTATTGATACTGGAAAAGAAAAAGTAAAACTATCTTTTTTTTCTCAAACAAATAAATGATCATTCACATAGAAAACCCTAAGCAATCTATAAAACAGCCACAAAAAAATATGTAAATTTTGCAAGGTCACAGGATACAACATCAATATATAAAAGTTAATCGCATCCCTCTCGGCTACCAAAGTCCCTGGGTGGCTCAAACAGTTAAGCACTACTAGCTGAAGGGTCAGTGGTTCAAACCCACCCAGAGGTTGTTTTGTAAAGACAGGCCTGGCAATCTGCTTCCAAAACGTCACTGCCTTGAAAACCTTATGGAGCAGTTCTATTCTGCACATGTGGGTAGCTATGAGTCAGAAGCGAATTGATGACAACTAACAACAGACTAGCAAAAA